CATGCATGCCACTTTGCTTCCATTCAAAGGTGATCCTTGAATTGCCTGCTCTATCATATATCAAAACAAATGCGTCTGGGTCGGGGAACAGAATACTCTGTCCAAGTTTTCTTTTTTTCTCAAATGTGTACTCTCTCCGTACTAAAAAAAATAAAGTTGTTTTGGATAATGCCTGTGTCAAACATTATGAATATAAATCATGAATAACTTTTAAGTTGTTGAGTTTGAAAATGTGAAAACCATATGTATAGATTTGTCTTGAAAAATACTTTCACAAAAATTTACATATATCACTTTTTGATAAATATCTTTATAAAAATAAGCAGTCAAAGTTATGTTTTGGAGACCGTGTCGCTGTCCAAAACAACTTTATTTTTTTAGTATGGAGGGAGTATGCAGCATTCCAGTGTGGTTTTCAGAATGGAAGTGGTGGCCAGTGATACTTTCTTCTATGAGTGGCCTATTCTTGACCGAGAATTTTTTTTTGAACGAAACTGGAGGGGTTTACACCCCTACAGCATAAATTGAAACGAAACAAGCGGTTCAGATTAGAAAAAAGGCGCTAAAACTACAGAGCACAGAAGCAAAGAGGAGGCAGGACAAGCCTAGGAGACAAATGGGCTGTTCGGCAGGACTGAAAAATAAACAAAAATATTGTTCCGGCTGATTGATGTGAGAAAAAAATATTGTTCGGACTGAAAACACTGTTCATATGAACAGTGTTTTTCTAAGAGCGCTGGCCAGCGCAGCCGAACGCGCGGAAAGAAGGTGACGAAGAAAAGCAGCACAAGAGCGTGCTGCAGAATTCAACTAGTGCACACGCTGTTTTGTGACGTGATCGTTTTAGGCGAGTTATAATTAGGCGGATGATGGGACACTGGGGCCAATTAATCTCGACAGCTACGGAGATGAGATATCTCAACCAAGTCTCACAACAGTATGCTCCAATTTACATTTCTACATCTGTCATGTAAGGTTCCTAGCAAGGATGTACAAAATTCATATAGATTTGTACTGACGCATAGAATCGCGCAATTATAAGATCATAAAAACTGACTGAAATTGTACTAAATTTGTACTGAATTGAAAGAAGTAGTATGTGACCAAAAATAAAAAGATTGCGTCAGAGTCCGAACCTGCGGCATTGAGCGCATCTATCTCCGACTGCGCGAGCCGTATGTAGACATCCTGAACGTCCGTCGGGTACAGCCGCATGTCCAGCAGATCGACGGCCCAGATGACGCAGCCGCGGCTGAGACCCCCGCTGACGTTCGCCGCAGCGTACGCCCGGCAGCTGCAGTTGCTGAGGCACGCCTGCCGGCATTGCTCCAGCGTCATGCCGGGGTACACCGTCGCGTTGGTGGCCTCCGGCAGCTTCATCCGCTTGACGACCCAGAACCCGTCGCTGCTCGCGTTCGCGCCGCCGCCGCCGCAGCCGAGTCTGGTCGTCCTCACGCACCCGGCCTTCCCGTCGCGGAGGTTCCACTGCTGCGGCGACCGTGGCTGGAACCCCGGGAGGCAGACGCACGCCTGGGACTGGCCGGTGTTGTCGCAGTACCCGAACGGCCCGCACTTGGCATAGGAGTCGCACGGGTCGTTGGGGTAGTACCAGAAGTTGCTCCACCCGCCGTTGACCAGCACGAACCGCTGCACCTGCCCCGCCGCTTCGTCCACGACGAGCCGCGACAGCAGCGCGTCGCCGCCGATGGAGTAGCTGTAGTACGTCTCGTCGGGGCTGTACACCACCCTGAAGGTGAAGTCGTTCGACTTGAGGTACGGCACGCCGGTGAGGATCTCGCCGTTCCACGGCCCGCTCGTGTACAGCCTCGCGTCGCCACGGAAGAGGAAGAACTGCGGAAGCCCGCCGGTGACCAGCTTGAACGTGACGTCGCCCGGCGACGGGTCGGACGCGGCGCGCCACGCCGTGATGTTCCGGGTGATGCCGGCCCTGACGTCCACCCCGAGCTTCATGCCCGGGAGCAGCGTGTCCGTCGGGTAGTCGAAGCTCTGCCACGCCACGCTCTGGTCGGAGTCGGAGCCGCTCCCGTCGGCGCTGAGGACGAAGTTGCCGCTGTCCAGGAGCCGCGCGGTGGCGCCGGCGGTCACGTTCCTGGTCGGCGCTGCCGAGGACCACACCGGGCCGTTCTGGCCGTCGAGGATGACGAGGCGGCCGTCGGCGGAGAGCCGGAGCACACCCGGGGTGCTGCGGACCGGGCTGTGGCGGTTGGCGACCCACACCACGGTGTGCACCGTGATGTTGTAGTACCAGATGCCGAGATACGTCCTGGCGCCATCATCGTCCGGGCTGAAGAAGCCGAGCTGGAAGACGCCACCGGCCGAGACGAGCGTCTCGTTATTGCCGGTGGTGATGGACTCGGACGGGCCGATGGTGTCGGTTGAGGTGGAGAGTGGGAAGAACGCGGCGGTGGCGAGGAGGACGAGGGAGAGCGCGCACGCCCTCATGCTCGACGATCTCGCCTGAATCGCGCGCCCCGCGCCAGTGCAGAATGGGCGGTGATCTCTAGCTACTCTCGGGATCGGGACATTGCCTTGTGAGGGTGCCTGCACCTGCACGCACGGCCGAGTGGCGGCTGCCAACCCCGAGGCTTGGGATCAGCGGGAGGGAGAGGACGTTGTCTTGTACCGGGTGATCGACCAGTGCGACGGTGCGGGACTGCGGGCTGCACCTTCACCTGCGCGCGAGAATTTGTTATTCTAGTCAGTCACATACTCACATGGGCCTGTGGCCGCGTTTGAGTGCCTTCTTTATCACCTTTTGACAAGACAAGATCCCATCCGGCCGTCCCTGTGCGGGTTGTTTGGATTTGGAGTCCACAGCACACAAGCCGGCCAAGTCAACGTTTGCCCTGTTCATAAGCCATGAGTGAAAGTACGGTTGACTGATTTGTTGTAAGAGAAAAATATTGTTTGTTGGCTGAAAAAATACGGCTTATAAGCCGAACGAACAGGACGGTTGGAGTCTAGAACGGCTATCTGTTTTTCCACGCGGTCGAGTTGGTCGTCGGCTTGTCGCCCGTGGGTAGGTCAGAGACCGAGTTTGATCCGATCCACAGAACAGAACACACGCGTGCGCTCAGGTTTTTGTTCCGCCACACCGCTAGCCTCATGCGTCCTGTTCGCTTGGCTTATAAATCGTACTTTTTCAGCCAACAAACAATATTTTTCTCTAATAACAAATCAGTCAACAGTACTTCCAACCATGACTTATGAGCCAAATGAACAGGCAAGCCGGCCAGCCGTCCGCACCGCACTCACCTCCGTGACTCCGTCGATGCGCATGAAGTTTCTAAACTTATATACGACGGTGAGTTAGTTTCTTGTTTCCAGTTATTACAAGTAGATCTTGTGGGACAAGCAGACACGCGAGATATGTTTGCGGTATAATAACATGGTAAGTTTTTCCTTCGGTCCAAATATGATCCATAGCATGCTGGCATATTTCGTATCATGCCGTAACGCCGGTTCAAGCACGTCCTTCGAAGCCTTACTTTCTTTATCCGTTCGTGACATACAAAAAACTATATTTTGTGTGTACCATTTTCATGAAAAAATTAATATTTTTTACAATCTATTTAAAAATTAAATAAAATTCAGTTTAGTAATGAACACTATGAAATTGCATTGTACAATTGTAGATGTGTTTGCGTGTGATTTTCATTCCATGCTGGTGTAAGGATCCAAAGTATGGGTCGGGCCAAGTAACACATCGTGCCGACATTCTAGGCACGACACGGTCCTCGCATTCGTCGGTACGATCCAAAATATTTCATATAGTAATACGGTCCAAAATATTTTTGTGTTGCAAAGTGCTAAAAGCTCCATGATCCACTCCCAAATGCCACATCTATGCTCTGTCAGCATGGACTGGGGGTAGAGTTTACTTTCATCTATGCACTTAGACTGCTTTGGCATCTGAGTTGAATTTAAAAAACGTGCATTGGATCTCGATTCGTCTTTGGAACTCGAGCTTGCTTATTTGCATCCCACAGCAACCCCAAAAGTGGGAAAGGTTTGACTCATGGATTGTTAATTTACCCTAATATGTACCATCATCATCTATACATTGCGATGACCACATAGTTGAAGTCAAAGAACAAAAACAAGCTCCCGACGGTACCATCATCGTTCAGCACTACCAATGCTGCTCTCCCATCATGCTGAACGATGCCTCGCCATTCGCCAAGATCGACTAACGGGGATCCAGCACAAAGGAGCAGCCGGGGCCCAACCAGGACGTGCCAAAACTTGCTGAGACACGCGGTAAATAAAGACTATTATAATTTCTATATGCATGTATTATTTTGTCAGGTATTTATTTTACTGATGTGGCAAATGATTTATTGAAGAAAAAAAAACCAGAACATGCAACTTGAAGGGTTTATGTTTTTTTTCCATTTTCTTTTCACCCTCCAATTGTTCAAACCAAATAAATTTAATCTTCGGACTGGTCTCAAAGGTGTTTTTTGTATTATTATTTTTTGAAAAATAAGAATGTTTGATCTCTAAATTTTTTATAAGTAATCCATTTTAAATTTAAAAAAATATAAAACTACTTCAATTTTCATCTAAAAATGTTATCTACCCGCTGCTAATTTATTTAGGGTTATTTGGATTTTATTTATTTTAAATAAATAATAAGCATAACTACAAGCAATATAAGCAACACAAATAAAAGCAAACCAGTTTCAAATATATAGATCATAAATAGGTACACAAACTTTAAAAAAAAAAGGTACACAACATTTTTAGAAAAATTATATTCGTTTTATATTTTTATAATTTAAAATAAATTAATTATAGTTTTAAGATATCAAACTAGATATTAATTATATTTTAGAAAATACTAAACAACCTACGAAACCGGTCAAAGGACCAAATTTGTCCAGTTTCAAAAAAAGATGGCCCCGATAACAAGTCACAATAAATTGAATGCAGGAGCTTCTCAATGCAATTTGTACTCTTTACAAACTGTGCAAACTTTACAGGGAAGAGTGGCCAGTGGACGTGGACCTGAAACAAACAGACAGACAAAAACGAAGATACGTTTATGCACAATTGCAACCTTCACAAGTTCGCATTACGAAACACTAGAAATGTGGACAGTTCCAATGCAAGCTACCTCGCCTCTAATCTGGTGACGGTCACGTAGTTGGCGGTAGCGTTCTGGGTCCGAGACGACTCCGTGTCCGACGACGTGCTCATCCCTGGGTTCACCCCGGGCTCGTTGGGCTCGGGGAGCACGGCGTTGTCGCTGGCCAGCATCGTGACCACCGACGACATGAGCGGCCGGTTCCTCGGCTGCGCTTCGACGCACAGGAGCGCCACCTGAATGCACCGCAGCACCCTGCTGTGGTGGAAGCTGGCGCCCAATGCCTCGTCCAGTAACTCCATGCTCCGCCCTTCTCTCCACAGCATCCATGCCTGGAAGATCCATCACCGACGACAGTCGACATGAACATGCATGGTTAATTTCAGAATTTCTTTGGAAGAATTGCTTGTGATAAAGTGTTGCTAGCTGTGAAGGATGGAATACGGTCTTGAACCAATGGAAAATTTCCTAGGCGTGAAGGATGGAACAACATGGACTCTGTGGTCCAGTGGTGGCGTACGGTTGGGACGTCAACAGCTTCTCCATGTAAAGCAGTAAGATCGATGACGCTTCTTGTCACATGGGAGCTTTGGAGAGAGCAAAATGCAAGGATTTTCGAGCATCAACACAAATCGCCGACAGTGTTGATTGCAAAGATCAAGGAAGAGGCTCGACTATGGTGTAGTGCGGGAGCCAAGCGATTACGAGAAATTTTTGCCATTGGATTAGGCCGTTTTGCCTCTTTTGTCTTGAGGGCCTAAATCCCTCATTTGGGCCTATCGGTTGTTTTTTTATGTTGTTTTTTTGGACTTTTCACCTGTACTTTAACTGTTTCCTCTTCCCTATCAATATATTTGCCTGGCATAATCCTGCCAGCAATTTTCGAAAAAAAAAGTGTTGCCAGCTGCTACTGTACTTACATATCCTAGGAGGTTGACATCGAGGTCGGGTTCGTAGGAGCCTCGGTTCCTCCTGCCGGCGATGATCTCCAGCACCAGCACGCCGAAGCTGAATACATCGGATTTTATCGAGATTTGGCCGTCCATGGCGTATTCTGGAGCCATGTAGCCACTGAAACCCGTCTCAGGAGCCAAGGGGGTTAAGGTCAGTTTTATACGACTGAATACAATGCGACTGGCACGGGGTTAGTTAGCAAATGGACGGACACTCACTATGTTCCGATTCCGACGACCTTACGGGTGTACGCAGTGGTCTGGTCACCTCCAAACATTCTTGCGATGCCAAAATCCGAGATTTTGGGGACCATGTTCCTGTCCAGCAACACGTTGCTAGCCTTCAGATCCCTGTGGATGATCCTGAACCTTGAGTCCTCGTGTAGATACTGTAGACCCCGTGCAATCCCCAGAATGATCTCGAACCGTTTCTGCCATCTCAGCAGCCTGCGCTTTGCTTCGTCTGCATAAGTAATGCATGGAGTAATGTCATCAATTAACTAATCACCTCATACGAATTCAATTCAAGGTGCTCTGCTCATGCATGTAGAACTGGACTGACCAAATATAAATGTGTCCAAGCTCTGGTTGTGCATGTACTCGTACACAAGCATCCTCTCGTCGTTCTCGATGCAACAGCCGAGCAGCCTCACAAGGTTTCTGTGCTGCAGCTTTGCAATCAGTTTCACCTCGTTCATGAACTCCCTCCCCCCCTGAGTTGATCCCTGGCTCAACCTCTTCACAGCTACTTGCTGTCCATCCTCAAGAACTCCCTGCCATTGGAATTGATTCGTCGCAGGTCAGTTAGTAATTACAGAGATCAACCAGCAAGCTAAATTACTAGGTAAATTGTGTGTTTTTGTACCATAAACAGGGCCAAATCCACCTGCACCAATCCTTTTGTGCTCCGCGAAGTTGTCCGTGGCGGCCAGAGTCACCTCCAGCTCAAACAATGGAAGGTCAACATCTTTGTCGGAGTAGTATCTCGTTTCCTCCGAGGCATCAAGAAGCTGTTTGTGATCCCGTACTGGGCTCAACGAAGGCTGGCTCCTGATCCTGGACGGAGGTGGGCTCAACGAAGGCTGGCTCCTGACCCTGTACGGAAGCGCGAAATCTGCAGTACTCGGAGGCAAGGACGACGCCATGTCCTCACCTTCACCTTTCCTGCTTGCCTTCTTCATCCAGAAACAACAGCATCCAACCGCTGCTAGCAGAAAAAGTACACCGGAAATAGTCGCGACAATGATGATGATCAGCTTGCTCTTGTGTGAACGCTGATGGTTATCTGTAATCAAGAACAAAAGGTGTGGTCAAGCCTCAAGATGGAAAATTTCGTGCAAGATTTTAAACTCGAAGTCGGAACCTGCTGCTGCAGCCTTGAGGGCGTCAATGTCCGACTGCGCGAGCCGTATGTACACGTCCTGCACGACGATCGGGTACTGCCGCATGTCCAGCAGGTCGACGGTCCAGATGACGCACCCGACGCCGATCCCGCCGCTGTTGTTCGCGGCGGCGTACGCCCCGCAGCTGCAGTTGCCGAGGCACGCCTGCCTGCACTGGTCCAGCGTCATGCCGGCGTACACCGTGGCGTCCGTGGCCTGCGGCAGCTTCATCCGGTTGACGACCCAGAACCCGTCGCCGTCCCCGCCGTCGCAGCTCAGGTTCGTCCTCCTGACACAGCCGGCCGACCACTCCCTCTGGCTCCACTGGTCGGGCGACCGCGGCACGAACCCCGGCAGGCAGCTGCACGGCGGGGAGCGGTCGGTGTCGCAGTACCCGAACGGCCCGCACTTGGCGTAGTAGTCGCACTGGTCGGTCGGGTAGTACCAGAAGCTGCTCCACGCGCCGTTGTTGAGCGAGAACCGCTTCAGCTGCGTCGCCGCGCCGTCCACGACGAGCCGCGACAGCAGAGACGGCTCGCGGATGAAGTAGCTGTAGTACGTCTCGTCGGGGCTGTACACCAACTTGAAGGTGAAGTCATGCGCCTTGAGGTACGGCACGCCGGTGAGTATGTCGCCGTTCCACGGCCCGCTCGTGTACACCCTCGTGGCGCCCCGGAGGAGGAAGAACTGCGGCAGGCCGCCGATGACCAGCTTGAACGTGACGTCGCCCGGCGACGGGTCGGACGGGCTGCGCCACGCCGTGATGTTCCGGGTGATGCCGGCCCTGGTGTCCACCCCGAGCTTCATGCCCGGGAGCAGCGTGTCCGTCGGGTAGTCGAAGCTCTGCCACGCCACGCTCGGCCAGGAGCCGCTGCCGTCGGCGCTGAGCACCAGGTTGCCGGTGTCCAGGAGCTGCGCGGCGGTGACGTTCCCGACGGTGGGCACCGCGGAGGACCACACGGTGTCGTTATTGCCGTCGAGGATGACAAGCCGGCCGCCGTCGGAGAGCTGGAGAGCGGCCGGGGAATTGACCACCGGGTCCCTGCGGTTGGCGACCCACACGACGGTCGTCGGGCCCGGGATGCTGGCGTACCAGATCCCGGGGTACGTCCTGCCGTCGGCGCCGGCCGGGCTGAAGAAGCCCAGCGCGTAGATGCCGCCGGCCGAGACCAGCGTCTGGTTGCCGGTGAGGGACGTGTTCCGGTAAATGGTGTCGGTGGATGTCGACGGGGTGAAGGAACTGGCGGCGGCCGCGAGCAAGAGGAGGAGGAGGGAGAGCGTGCGTGCCCTCATGGTCCTTCCCCTCGGCCGAACTGGGCGCGCGCCGAAAACCAGCCGTTGACTTCTCCTCTCACGACATGGCCTTATGCCTTGCGAGACCGCCGGCACGGTCGGCCGGTCGGGTGGTGGTGGCTGTCACTCGTGCCAACAACAATGGGCAGCAGGAAATGCCCGCCCGCGGCGGTGTGAGAGTGCGAGGCTGTTCGCGCATTTGTTACGCCCACAAGGCCACGTCGTCGCCGGCTGCATATGGAGCACCGGCCGCAAATAAAGCTTGGTCAACGACTCGACGTTCGCGCTCCGGGAGAGCTAGCTGTTGCCTGCCGGCTGCCGATCAGGCGCTGAATTCGATGCTTGCTGCCAGCAATCCGGGCGCGCGCGGCCGGGCTTGCACCGTTGCAGGAACAAGACTCGGTGGAAGCTCGGTTCTTGCGGCTAATCCTGTTCCCAACGGCAAACAAGAGCCGTTGCACCAAAAGTGACAGTAATGAATAGCTAAGAGAAGTACAATAAGAGGCTGTAAGTGGGCTGAAGGATGACGTGCAGGAGAGGGAATGGGAGAGAAGAGAAACGGACTGTAAGCTTACAGACAGCTTATGCACAGGAACCAAGAGGTTCTGTGAGACAAATAAGTGAGTTATATGCTGGCTAACTATTATACGAGTAGGCTGATAGATTTGATCTAAGTTTTTATACAGCCAGCATTATTTGGCTTGCTCTAATGCGGCTCTTGTTTGCGGTTGGGAACCATGCTCAGATGCTCTCGGTTCCCAACTTCCAACTGGATGCAAGTGCAACTATGCGTACCATATTTTCGCTTGACCACATGAAGATAATATATACTACGAGTATACGACACGGCAAACCTGAAGAAAAATGGACGCTTGGGTGTTTGGATCTCCCTCGGTTCGTAGCTGGATGCAAGCTGTTAACTTGCCCAACAGCCCTGTTACTCTGAATAGCTAAATGCACGATCTTATCTAATACCATCGTCATGTTGTAAATTGAAATATGCACCATAAGTCAAAGTCAAACAGGAACTAATCAAATCTCACCAATCACCATCGTTGTCATGCATGCAACGGACAAAGATTGTTTGGGCAACTTGCACACATTAGAACGCTTTTTTGTTTTTTACAACTGTGTGCCACAAATCAAACACCCCTTATATAGGCCTTAGCTTGCCAAACCAATCAAAAGTCAAAATGAATGAGCCATGCATATGAACATGCCGCGACTGACATTGTCCGAGAGGGAGAGAGAAGGCAATCCCCCACCGATGAAATATTTATGCCAATTCGTTTGTCGCTCAAATCCTCTTGTGTTGAATTTTGACCTAACAGACTAAAAGCTAGCATCTAGTTGCCTTTGGCACCAGCTGAAATCAGAAAGTCATAATGCCAGGTTGGCATCAGCAACAAGTCAACAACCATACGTTCCTCTAAGGACTCATGTAACGATCCTTATATATCATTAGCCGGGATGAGAATATATTATGAACAGGTTAAAACTTTATAAGACGTGCTAAATTTCAGGTTCTCGCAATATAACATTGGGAAATACCATGCAAATTCATGTAATGGTAACGTATGCATTGACCAAGCAAAGAACAACACCGATTTGGATTAGTACTATCTTCCGTCAAGGATCGTAACTGAAAGACCATTCAGGGAGCACGTTTCTTCAGCGATATCAGTTTCATTTGGGACCAGCATGGAGAGGAAACCAGGTTGCTTTGGGTCTGGTAAGATGGCACTTCCATTGGTAATCATTGAAATGATTTCAGTCATGGAGGGTCGATCCGCAGCTTGCTCCTGAACACACAACAAGCTGACATGAATGCATTTTAGCGCTACATTCTCAGGACATCTACCATGTAATGGTGTATCAATGAGCTCATGGCATCTGCCTTCGTTCCATAGTTCCCATGCCTGCAAAGTTCAGTTCCAGCAGCAACCAAGTTAGAAGTGCTCCACTTCCAAAACAATACCAATTACATACTAAGAATTTTTGTTATCTTTATAACATGCTTACGTAACCAAGGAGGCTAACAGAGTTGCCATGTCTTCGAGATCCAGCATTTCTCATTCCACTGATAATCTCCAGAAGCAAGACTCCATAGCTAAATACATCGGACTTAGTGGAGAAATTGCCAGCCATAGCATACTCAGGAGCCATGTAGCCACTGGAAGAATAGCAGTCACTTAAAATCAATATCCATTTTTCAATCTAGTCAACATTAGCTTCATAGATCAAATGCAAAGCACAAAGTAAGCAAGAACTTACTATGTTCCGACAACTCTTTTCGTATTAGCTTGTGTTCCTTTGGGATCAAATATTCTCGCCATCCCAAAGTCCGAGATCTTAGGGTTCATATCAGTGTCCAACAGAATGTTGCTTGCTTTCAGGTCCCTATGAATAATTCTAAGCCGAGAATGCTTGTGGAGATAAATAAGACCCTGTGCAACCCCTTCAATTATGGTCATCCGCATTTCCCAGTCTAGCAAAGCTCTTCTTGATTTTTCTTGACAAAGGGAAAAAATAGACTCACTGGTTCAAGAAGGAAGCTGAGAGAAAATTGGAAGCAATAGGAATTAGAAAGGAAAAATCAAACATACCAAATAAGAAGAAATCCAAGCTTTTGTTCGGCATGTACTCATACACTAATAACATCTCTTCTTCTTCAATGCAACAACCTAACAGCTGGACTAAATTTCTGTGCTGAAGCTTAGCAATAAGCAGGACTTCATTCTTAAACTCAGGTAACCCTTGCCCTGAATGTGCTCCTAGTCTCTTAACAGCAATCTCCCGCCCATCTGGCAAGTGGCCCTATAGAATGGTTTTCAATGTAGATAGAAATCAGATAGTATTTTTTTTCGAAAGAACGGCAAAAGCTTTGCCGTGGATTTTATTAGACGATATAAAGAGAAAAAGGGCAAATACAACTCTCTATTTACACCCAGCGTCCCCTGCTAAACAAAACGGAAAACTAGTAAAACGGCAGAAAAAACAACTGCACAGAAGAAAAAAGGTAAAAAGACTGAGACTAGGGACACTCCGAAAATAAGAACCCTGGCCCAACTGAAGAAGAGGTCCACTGCTAGTTCGCCGTATTATGAATTGGAGACGTCGCCAAAGAAAATTGACTTATATCATCTTTGCACAAACTTGCAACTTGTCTTGGGCTCAAACTTTTTGTTGGAAAGTTCGCCTATTCCTCTCTTTCGAGATATTCCACCAAAAATATATTATGATCCCGTCGAAGCGCCGTCTTTGATTTTTGTCAACTTTTCTCCTACATCTTCGCCAGTAATTATGAAGCGACCCAGTTGTGCTTATGGAGCTTAGGTCAGTTAAACTGAACCATATCTTGATCAACTCCCACACTTCCTTAGTGAAAGGGCAATCTTTACACAAAAAGCGTTGGTGTCTCTTGATCATTTGTACATAGTTTACATATGGGGTCATCCGTCCATCCTCGCTTCATCAAGTTATTTGCGGTCAGAATTTTTTTGTGCATTAGTGTCCATGCGAAGAATCTGCATTTCGGTTCCGTCTTGGCCTTCCAAATTGGCATAATTCTGAGCTTGGAAAAGGTCCCCTGAAACTGAATTTTATAAGCGCTTTTTGTTGTGTACTCTCCACTTTCTGTCCAACGCCATCTTATATTGTCTTCCATATTGTCGATCAACTGCGTATCCTTGATGGCCTCCCAAAGGTCGGCAAATTCAGAGACCTCTGCATGTGAATTCGGAGGATATATGTGGTCAATCCATCTGCTATTTTCTAGAGCCTTTTGCACTGAAATCTTCTTCCTGTGCGTCTTCCGAAACAAGCTAGGCGCGATTGTTTTTGCCGAAGCGCCGTTAATCCATGACGAAGTCCAGAACAAAGCTGTTTTTCCATTGCCAATATTTACTACGGTTGATGCGTTGAAAAGCTCATGATCGGTCTTGTTGCATGGGACTTCCAGGTTTGTCCATGCCCTTTCCTTTTGTTTCCACTTGAACCATAGCCATCTCAACCTCAAAGCTCTTGTGAAACTCTCTAAATCCAAGATACCAATCCCCCCTTTTCCTTTGGGAGGCAGGTGGTGGGCCAGTTTATAAGTGAATGTCCCCCGGTAACGTTTTCTGGAGTTTCACCGCGCCAAAGGAAACTGCGGCGTAATCTGTCAATCCTTTTGAGCACCCCTTTCTGCGCCTGAAAAACTGTGAAGTGGTAGATTGGAATGGAGGAAAGAACCGTTTTTACTAATGTTTCCTTCCGGAGGTTGACAATAATTTTCCTTTCCATCCTGGCAGCCTGGCTCCTATCTTATCTACTAGTGGCTGGAATTCAATTTTCCTTAGCTTCCTTGTGTGAAGTGGTAGCCCAAGATATTTTCCTGGAAAAGTTCCAATTTTCCCAGGGAAATTCTGGATGAGTGAAGGTATTAAGTCGGGCTCTACCCTTATCGGAAAGATCTCCGTCTTCTCCATGTTAATTTTTAGCCCCGAGCATTCTCCGAAGAACTTTAGTATTTTTTGAACATTCTTCAACTCTGTAACGTTCGGGTTTGCAAATATGGCTGCATCGTCCGCATACAGAGAGCATCGCAAGTTTGCGGCCTTGGGCAAAACCGGGTGTAGAATACCCCGCTGAGCTGCATGTTCGATGATACGTTGTAACGAGTCTATGGCGATGATGAACAATAAAGGTGACAATGGATCGCCCTGCCTGAGACCTCTCGCATGAGGAATATTTTGAGTCGGTCTACCATTAACGAGAATTTTGGATGATGAAGTGCCGAGAATTGGCTGCACACAAAATGTGACTAATCATCTTAAACTCCTTGAAATGTCAAATGGTGTGCTCCACAATATAGGGTCTGTTTGGTTGGTGACCAAAACGTGCCATGCCACAGGTTAGTCATGCCATAGTTTTTCTGGTAGCTGTTTTTGTTTTGCTGCCACAACTACGGCGTGCCACACTTTCTTAGCACCCTGTTCCACACGTCATAGACTTATTTTTGTTGCCAAACTTTGCCATAAGTGTGGCTTCAGTTTTGTTCGCCAATTTTCTCTGGCAGCCACAGTTTGCTAAAGGTTTGGCGTGGCAAATTGCGGCACCAACCAAACAGAATGAAGACACAAAGGACGTGTATATATGAATATTAAGGAAAACTAAGCAAAAGGGGAGAATGTAAGGGTAGGCTGAATCCAAAGCCAAAGAAAGGAGGGAAATAGAACCTTATATTCGACAAACATGTTCAAGGAAAGAATCTGTCCAAGATACAAGTATCAAGATGCAACAATTCACTAGTTTTCACTAGGTATGCCATCCAATCCACTTGTTAAGACTATCAAATCTGAGTGCAAAAGACCCCAAGAGATTACCACCATCTTAAAAAAAAAGGGACCAAGGGAAACTAGCCGTTTTTTCATTAAAAAGACAATAGGCACCCAAACCTTGGTGGTTGGGATATATGACCACACCCTCCACGCCAAGCAGTTGTGCTAGACTAACTTCCTAGGTATCGCCATCTTATAATCTCCCAACCATCGAATGTTAAATTTTACAGCCCCATAAACAGAAGTGCATAAGAAAAAGGCACTCAGTAAATCGCAAAATATTAAACCTACTACAGGAGACGATTAAAAAATCCATAATACAATATAGAAGCAAACTATTTCTAGAAACAGGAAAAAATGAATGAAAAGTATATCATTCTTGATTGATACTCTTAGCTAAGTTGGTTGCAATGATGGAATGAGTCATTGACAATGCAACTTTTACTTCTTTTCAAAAAAAAAAGACAATGCAACATTTAGAGGATAGCAATACCGCAACGTGTGAACCCAATCCTAGATAAACATCAAAAGAGCGAACTTTCTGTTGAGACTGCAAGTGGTAACTTTTTGATTATATACATAGCCTGTTCATGATGTTACATAGAAATATAATATAATTCAAAAGAGCGAAAAAATTAAGTGTTTCAAACATATAACCAACAAATAATGATACAGTTAGTCTAGATGCCAAGCAAAGTCAAGATCCATTGTTTAACATAGGTATGAACATATATAGTAGCGCACTTATGTAGGTAAATTTGAAAAATGAAAACAGCGCCTTCATCTCCATGTCATGCCATATATCCCTCATGTCTAATATCCTCTCTTTAGTTTCCCTTTTCCATGTAAATTATTTGAATTATATTGCAACAAGAAGATAGGGTACAGCCCTGTTCTTCTGGAGCATTTGGAAGGAAAGGAAGAATGATCTGATTTTCAATGGAATTCAACCCAGCACACAGAAATGCAAGCACAACTTCAGGAAGGAACTTTACCACTTAATGTGGAGGATCAAGAAGAAATCTGAACCATCTTTTGTATCATGGATGCAAAACACTTTTCATCAGCTCTTCTTCTCTTTATTTTCTTCACCTCCTTTTTTGTTTCTTGAACTCTCTCTAAGGCTTCTTGTATTTGCTTTTATTCTTTTTTATATATTTCAGTAGGGGCTCCGGCCCCTCCTGGTTCCTCAAACAAAAATGTGGCAAAGCTATTGCCATCCTTTCAGGAAAAAAAGATAGGGTACAGCCATACATACGTAACCACATGCTTCTGTACCAGCATTCTTATCTAGTTTGTGAAATGCTGACAAGTATGCGAAGCAGAGGGATTGAAGAACACATGGTACCTTGTACACAGGGCCAAACCCCCCTTCTCCAAGCATGTTTTCTGTTGAAAATTTGTCTGTAGCATTTCTTATTTGTGAAAAGGAAAACGTCGCAAAATAAGAGCTTGTCTCCTCACCCTCCCAGAGTTTGATAGCATCCGAAGTCATTACGGAGTGATGACCATCCTGTTTTCCTTTCCCTGATTCATACACAAACTTATTGTCATGTTTTCAACCACACTGCATATAAAAGGGTGGAATTTTCTTTAGCTGTCAAAAAGTTCTTAAGGCTTTCTAATAGATACCTTTACTTTTTGATCTCCTGATCCAAATAAACAAGATTAGACAAAAACTAAGAAATCCAACTGAAGGAAGTACACCAGCTATCCAAAGTATTTTATGACCTGAATAAGAGAGAGAGAGAGAGTTTGTCACTTGACTGCATTGTTCATAATACACTTTCCTTTGTGGAAATTTTATCTTTTGAAGAAATAGTTCGTACTTCATAGTACTTTCGAAAACAGGTATTGATTACTTCTCTTTCAAGTAGCTAACTTTTAAGGTACTGTCCAAAATATCACTAACACCTTTTCTTTATGTAAGACGTATTAAGATTTGGACAGGCCTTCAAAAAGTAAACTTCGACCATTAATTTTTCTTAGAATATACCAATTGTCAAAAAACTTCAATAGCATATAAAAGGTCTGTGACATGCATATAATTTGACTACTTGTTGGCCAAAACTTCTGGTTGGACCATTTCAAATCCTAATGATAATCCCTACATAAAGAATAGGAGGGAGTACTTCCTTACGGTACACATTTCATACCTGAACTATTGGTTGATTCTAACTCTGATGCAGCAACACGAAGATAAAGAGTTCCTGCTCCACTCCCATTATACCCGTCCTGCATATTTGTTAGATTGCCATACCATAGGCTGCAACCATGCAATGCAGAGTAAGTGTATGCAGTACAGGAGCAATTTGTCATGCATTCCAATTGGCATTTGCTGTCTCCCATAGCAGAAAGTTTAACTCTGGAGTCAGGGAGTCGCATACTAGACATATTAATAAACCTATCCCCATTACACTGCAGTTGGGTTTGCCTCGTGCACCCTTTCCGGGTATTTCCTGTCATGTCTTCTTGTGCGAAGCCTTTAGGACAACG